GAAGGACTCAGCCAGAGATAAACCAAGCTGCATTACTCAGATCTCAGTTTGAACTTCCTTGGAGTCTATAGCACTTTAGGCTTTTAGATGTTAAGGCTGTGCTTTATACACAAGTGCCTTTATACACAAGTATTTATAAATCCCAAGTGCCTGTTTTCATTGCAACAATTCTTAGCATCAGTGTAGCTGCCAAAGCAGGGTCATCCATGAGGACCCACTTAGATTTGATGTGGTTCCCTTTTGTATTTTAAGGACAAACAAATCCTGGGTTGAGCAAAGGGAAGCACCAGATGTTCATAGTCATGATGACAAAATCACGTATCTGTAAATTCCCAGCACTAATATACTAAGGGATTAAGCAAACCTGAGCAGAATAGCTACAGTTTGCAAGGCATTATACAGGACACAATGCAAGTAGTTTTCTGTTAGATGGAGCCACATAAAGCAATATTTCCGTTCTGAGAAACTGGGGCTGGACTTGATGATCTTCCGAGGTCCCTTCCAGCCCTAATGTCTATGAATCTGTGAATTAGCTGCAGAGAAATTCTGTGTTCAGACAGTGTACTTGGAGATGAAACTGAACAGAGGTGTTAGAGGGATGTAGACAGTGCTGCAGAGGCAGCATAACTTGCTCTGATTTTCTCCGGGTCAAAAAAAGAAAAAACACAGATTCCCACCCCCATGGGTAGCCATGGGAAAGTGCCTGGCCTGGACCTGCCAGAACATCATGGGGGGGTATATTCTATGGGCTGGATAAGTGATGAGGGGCTGGTCTATAGGCTAAATGAATGGCATGAGGCCAGCCCCATGGGCTGGATTAGACCGAAGGACCCTTCCCCTCCACATGTCAGAACCAGTGAATTTAGCCCCGGCTCTGGCCTGTCTAGGACTGCACCATACACAGTGCCTGGTCCGGTCCGTTACATTTGGCTTATGTGGCACCCATTCCAGCTGGTTTGAAACTGTGGACCAGCTTGGTTTAGCAGTATGTGTAGTGCAGGTCCTGGATAATTTGGGGTAAGTACTAATTGCAGTGTGGTTCTCAGGCTGGCTGGAAAAGCACTGCGTGCAGCATGCATCCAGGGCTGGTGGAATATGGGTCAAGTCCAGACTGAGAGGCACCAAGGACCCAATGATGGGGCTCTGTGGGCCAAATACGACCTGTGGGCTGGATCTTTGATGCCCCTGATCTAGCCAATCCAAATTTGCTAAATACACAAACACAGACACAACTGATGTTCCATGTCTTTTAAAAATGTCCATGTCAGGCTTCAGCAGTCCACCATCTATGATTGTAATTCTTTGATTTTTCCAACGTTACTTTCCAGGTACTGAACAGTGATACAGATTCATTTAGAATGACAAAATTTTGGGTAGAAATTGGTTTATCCAGGTTTAGATGTTGGCAAGGAACTTGCCAATGTGTTCTCCCAGTAACATTTCAGCCTCCTTTTCCTGTTCTGGGTATAACCCATTCCACTTTTATATGGATTCAGTCATGTTGGCTAAATAATGGAAAGGTTCTTTAGCTTTTCCTATTTGTTTTTTACCTTGTCTGATTCCAGTTCTTTGTTGCTAATTGGATCAAGCCTGATTTGCAGTGAGGCTACAGCACTGAATGCAGTCAGCCTGCGGTCTGTTCTTCTGGAACCTCCTTGAGCTGCTTTTGCAAGTTCAGTTCTACCCTGAAAAGTGCCTTGCTGTGCAAATACCTGCTAATGTTTTGACTAAAATCCTTCTCTCACTCCTGCATATTTAAACACATACATGGTAATTAGATGCAGATACAGGTTGTAGTGCCCAATCCGCCATTTGTATTCATCTTAATTTAGCAAAGGAACTGGATTGGAGAAAAATGGCAGTGTGTTTATGCTGGGGACCAGGATTGGAGGGAGCAGCCCATGGATAGTCATGGGGAAGTGCCTGACCTGGACCTGCTAGAACATCCTGGGGGGTATATTCTATGGACTGGCTTCATTATTTATTTTTGGTCCGTTGTCTCTCCCTGGCGTTCTTACTGGGTCCATCTGTGCAATAAGTTGGAGCCAATTTGATCTTTCAGGGATAGCATCTAGTATATGAGGGGGGAAGGGATTTTACATTGTGCATTAACACTAACATAGGATTGTAGGAAAATAGAGCTGAAACGGACCTCACAAGGTCATTTAGTCCAGTTCCCTGCCCTGACTAAACCATGAACAGTCCATAGCAAAATCACCCTGCCATTTTGATTCCATTTGCACTCAAGAAGTGGGAAGAACTGAAACTGTTAGCTGCTCCCTTCGATGGCTACACCAGGCTGCCTGCCTTCTGCCATCCTAACAATGCTTTTCTTCTTCTGGCCAGAGGTGTCCTGTGTCTCTTTTGTCCTTCTCTCCCTTCCTCCAAAGGCCCAGCATTATGCTTATCCCAGCCTTTGCTTGGGGAATGCAACTTTCTGCAGAGGCCAGCACACCTAGCCATCATTGTCTAGGTCAGTCTAATTTAAGACCAGCCCTCCTGGATGTACATATTCTCTCAGTGCTGCAGTTGTAGCCAAGATCACATGTAGCATGAGGAAGAGAGACCTTTTGCAGTCAGACTAGAGTATGATGGATTGAGCTGGCAGATAGCTAAGAGCACTCCATGGTCTTTTGCCTATGGCAAGATTGTACTCCTAGACACGGTGTTCTTCTATTTGCAAAGATTGTTGGTAACAGTTTGGAAAGAATCAGGATCCACTAGTGAGCAGCTTTTGCTCTGTTAATTTAGAGAAGGGAATAGAGTAATTTATAAAAAGCATTAAACAAGTGAGGATTAGGAGGCCTCTGAAATCTGTTCTGATGGGTTTTCTCTTCTCTCAATAAAGAGGGCTTTAATTTTCACTCACCATGGAGACCTTTTCCAAGATAGAACATGCAGTGAGCAAAGAAAGTGGACTTCTGTTTACTGCTCAGATACTCATCACTGATTTGTGCTTCTCTCCTTCCAATCTTGGCACTTGTACCTATGCATGTGTCTATTTGTCTAGTCTTTAATTAGACTATTTAGAAACAAATTATATATCAGAGATTCCTTTACATTTCTTACCCTCCAACATCCTTAAGTGTTCTGCATCTAGTTGGCCATGTCCACCTTCCTTGTGGACTGTGTAAAGTGCAAGGCATTGGTACAGGCTGCAATGATAACAAAAGTGATTCCTTAGTAAACTGCATTGCCATGGCCCTTGCGTGGATTTGAGAGGGTATCTGAACCACTGATATGCTGCAATCCCAGCTTGTGCCTCACACAGAGGGCCAAAGGCTCCATGCCCCATCACCATCGACATTTCAGTGTAAATTATGATGTGGTTGGGTGATGAAAATTGACTTTATTTCCTTCTTTGCAAAAATGGCATGAGAGTATAGGAGATGCAGTGTGTGTGTGTGTGTGTGTGTGTGTGTGTGTGTGTGGTGGGGGTGGGAGCTTAAGAGACACCCTATGAGGCTCACTCCCCCTGATTTCCTGCACTTTTTACCTCTTTGATAATATAAATGTCCATAAAGGGGGGACAAACAGCCCCCAGCATTACCCAGGTGGTAAAAGTAAGTGAAAGAACACTGTTACAGTGCCTCTGCACTGCTTGCCTTACAAGCACAGCCCTGGGGCCATTGTGGGAGAGAGAGTAAGTTAGAGCTGCCCAATGGCTATTGTACTTTGTCAGGACTAATCAGGCTTCTAGCAGAGTTAAGAATAGTGGAGGTGCAAAGATGGCTTAGACTGCTTGAGACCCTTGTGAGGGTGATGCCAGCAGATTGGAGAGGAAACCAGTCATGAAGGGTCCAGGGAAAGGTATGGAGGAGGTGAAGACAAGTACATTAAATGAGCTGAGACATAAAGAGATTTTGGGAACTGTAGGAGAGGTAGGAAGTTGAGGGTTCTGGCAAAGTGGTAGGAAAGGGAGAGCTATTTAAGCAGTCTACAAAGACAAATAGTAGAGAAATACAAAGAGAAATAGATCAACAGAACGTAAATATAGCTAGACTCTTCCTTCTAGAAAGCAAAGCTAACTAGGCTCCCCACCTACACATATATGCTCCATCTCCTGAAAGAGGTGCTTAGCATGTGTCCATCACTGGTCTTAGACTCTCTGTTTTGGGTATACTTGTGTGCATGCACTCAGGGCTGCTCAAAGGCAGCAACGTTGGCTGGATTTTTCATGCACACAATGGGAGTTGGTGGGTAAGGCCTGGTCCATACCAACTTTGTCAGGTGTGGCACAGAGGCAGTGTTGACATGTCCTAAGCTGAGTTAACAGAGAGTGGGTTAAGCAAGATGGAGAAAAGACAACTGGCAGAGTTTGGTTTTGAGTTCTCTCTGTCTCAGTCTGCATCTCCCATCTCCTAGGGAAGTGGCAATGTAGAAAGCTCATTTTACATTGCACAAGCAAGGAGGCATGTCTCACATCAGTACACCTATGCCCTCTGAGAATTACAAAAACAAGCAGACAAAGCCAGGGTATTCAGGAAAGCTAAGAATGAGAGCTCTATTTCACTCCTTTGGTCAGTGATCTCTGAACCTTACCTCAAGGAGTGTGCAAGGCACTCAGCTGTTAATGTTCTGTAGAAGGCAGTTTTTAGATCTCAGGCCATTAATGATCAAGGAGCTAGTAATGAAAGACCAAAGCCCGGAAAATGAGGCCAACTGAGGGCCCAAGCTCTCACAAGAAGGGAAAGCAGGATCTATCAGTCCAAGTTATTAACAAAGAAAGTGTAAAATTACTCAGTGTGATTGTGCAGAGATCCCTGAGCATCAGGTCAGTGGCTGTATTCAGAAGCTGCTTGCTCTAATGAAGTGGTGTGCTTCTGGGGTTCAGATGTCACGGAAAGAGGGAGATTATCTGGTAAGCCTCTCATTCTTCAGGAAGATGGTAATAAAACTGCTCTTCCTCTCTGTCTTCGCAGGTGATATTATTTTAGGGCTGTTTTGTCCTGCCTTGGGGCCTCCCTGTTACCTAACGCTCATCTCCCATACCTTGGTAGGAAATGGAATCAAAAGTCTCCGAAGGTGGCCTGAATGTTACCCTCACCATCCGGCTGCTCATGCATGGAAAGGTAAACAGGGACACACTTTTTGTTATTTTCATTTCAGTTCCATTTCCATGAATAATGAAATAACAAATGTTCAGAGGAAGCACTTGATTGGGCTGTTAGGCATAGTCCTGGGCAAGGGTCAGTATGCCTGGGGAAGAAACTGGAACTCAGAGATGTACAGCTCCTGCTGTGCTCCATGCTTGCTCCAGGGGAGGTGAGTCTGGCACTTTAACTACTTCCCCTGCTGCAGTGGTTCAGCTGTGCCCAGGCTCTGCTCCTTCCCAGCCAGCCCTTAGGAGCAATAAGACTGCTCTGGTTGGATACATGTGGCCCTGGCTCAGAGGACTCATGAAGGACACTGGGAAATACAAGCTGGCTGCATGGTGTTCAGCA